TGTGGGGTTTTTTTTTTGACAAGTACTGCGTGTTGCTGGTCGTGATCCCTTCTGCTCCTGTTACAAAGGTAATGAGTGGGGAAATCCACCTGGAAAACGGCTTTAACTCCCCGCTCCAGCAGCACTGGCTGCTGCCATGAGAGGCAGCATTTCTCCTGCACCGACTTACTTTTAGGTTTCTTTAAAGGTCGTGAATGGGTGTCAGGAGACAAAGGAAAGCTGTGTTAGGTGAAGCAGGAAAAGGGGCTTGTTTTCCAGCAGATGTTCTGCAATTCTCTAGAGCAAAGTACAACCAGGCAGTGCTCTGTCAGTTCTGAAGGGTTGTGCAGTTTTGACTTGATTTTTCTGGGGGGTTTTGGTTTGGTGGTGGTTGGTTGTTTGTGGGTTTTTGGCTGGTTGTTGTTTTGGATTTTTTTTTTAATAGTAACTAAAATTAATCAGTGATTTTCTCCTAGCCAAGTTGTCTGGCTACCTTCAGGCAGCCTGCTGCAGGAATCAGGGAAGACTTCCATCCTCTATTGGTAGGAGGAAATGGCTGGAAGTATCTACATGTGATTTACTGCGCTCTTAGTTTAAGAGAGAGGGATAGAAAAGGCCCTTTCATCAGTAACTGGAGCAGCTTGAAGGGCAGAAGCCCAAAGGACAAGAAATCAGTTCTTTTGAATTAAATTGGCTAGAAGCCGTGTCTCCAGTAACACCCACCAGCCACACCAAGTGCAAGGGAAGAAGTCACCACAGAACTGTTGTGCAATGGAGAAGGAATTTCCCCAGCATTAGCCTGGCCCTGCTCTGCAGCTGCTGTGCTCTTGCACAAGATCTGCAACACACCAGCAAAGTGTGTGTTTGTTTACAGGAGCCTCCTGAGAGCCCAAGCAGAGCCAAGCAGAGCCTCAGCTCCTCCAGACACAGGCTGCTAAGTTCATCCCCTCTCTCCTGGTGGGACTAGGTCCCCATCCGACCCCAGAGGGCTGCAGGGACTGACTGACTCACCCACCACCCTGAGCTCACCCTCAGCTGCCGGCTGTTCTCTGTGTTCATCTGGGTTTTATGTTTCTGAGTCTCCAGTGTGGCCAGATGAAGACCTAAGCCTAAAAGTTGTTATTTGCTAGCAACACCACCAATTTTTCCTACATTTTTTTCAAGCAAGACATGGCTCCAAAAAGTAGCAAGTACTTCTTCCTTAGAAAACATATCTGGTATTGCCATATTTCAGGAGATGTGATGGGGTTTTTGCAGCATCTGCTTTTTGTTTTTTAACAAGTGCAGAAAGGAATTCCCCACGCAATCAAAGGTGGCAGAGGCAGCTCTGAAGACAACAATTAAATCTGCAGGAAGGGCTTTTTTTTCCTAGTGGAACAACCTCTTTTCTGCAGGACTGGGATGCATCTTTTCCCTTGCAGAATTAGATGCACAGGTGCAATGGGGAGTGGAGGAGGCTTTGTCCTGCCTTTGCCAGCCAGATTTGTGTCAGTGACGGTGAAAGGACTCCAGTAAATCATTCTTCTTCCAGCCACCTCCTCCCCCATCCCCTCTGGTTATCAAGGAGATTGCTTTTGCCTCTGAACTGTATATTGTTTTCCTGCTAAGGGATGTTGAATTGTCTCTCAAACCCCCAGGATTTCAGGAGACAGAAAATGGTGCTCACCCCACCGACCGCAGCGCTGCCAGAAACTGGTCTCGGATTCAAGTCCCATTTGTCACCTCTTTTTAAAACATTATTTTTTATATTTTAGGCTTCGTGTTGTGTCTTAGGTCAAAATCAGGCTTTGTATTTTTTTACATGAACTGTCATGTATTCCCTTCTGGTGAAGGGCAGCAAGTGTGGATAGGGCAGTAACAGCAAATGTTTTGTCGAGGTCCCCATAAGCAAATTCTCTATTCAAATTAGAAGTGCAAACCTGGGTCAGCACCACAGGTTCACATCCTGGAGTAACATCTGTCACTGCTGTTCCAAAATGGGGTTGGTTTACCTGGTGTGGGAAGCCAGTAACACACAGAGTCGAGGTTTCAGCAACTTAAGAGCAGATATGTGCAGAAAAGGGCTGGGGTTTTACACGGCTTAACAAATCCCTTCATTGCAGCTGATTGCTGTAGGGTACCCTCATCTTCATTTAAAGGTACTGTGTCTATTATTGCACAGGCTCGGGGAGGGGGGGCCTCCAAGCAGAGCTGTGTACCTGAACTTCTGGAGGTGTGATTTTCACACTTGAACCAGTCAAGCTCACCTAAAGGGCACGTTTTGAGCTGGTTCATGCAGTACAGCCAAGCTGCTTGGGCAACTGGCCTGCTCAAGTTTCTACTACCTGGCTTTAGGTCTGTACGTTCCTTCTGCCCCATTGTCTTGCCAGAAGGTGATTTACATCAGGTCCTTGGTTTTGTTTCTGCAGTTAGTTAAGGATTATATACCCATCAAGAGTCTGGCATGTTTCCCCAGGTGTTTTCCAACGTGCAGAAATACGAAAAACCTTTGTCAAGTGGAGTGTGTTTCACTTGCCATGAAAATAACTGTGAGGATGAGAGCTGGAGAGGCTCTTACCAGCCCTAGTACTGATTTGTTTTGTTATTTAAGTATTCATGGTAATGACAAAATGTGACTCTGGTTTTTTTTGGTTTTTGCTAGACATCTATTGCTCTCTATGGAATCTGCATGGTGAAGGAAGGAACAAATGATGTTATTCCCCTGAAATGCTGTTTGGATTTCACAGCAAACACCAGTCTGCCCTGGTGGATCACAGCTTTAGTTTTTGCTGCTGCAGAAAGCAGGTTCCTCTGCAGCGTAAAATTTAAAGAGTAATTCAGTCAAAGGCCTCTCTACTCTCAGTAGGAAAGACCCTGTGCTGTCCTGCCCTTGCACAGCTACAAAGAACCAGCAAAGGTGACAAAGACAGGGTGATCCTGGCCAAGGTTGCTGCAAGTCTGACATGACTAATGAAGTCTGGGACAGCCTGGAGAGTAACAATAGCTACTGTTTACTAACCCACCCTGGATCCAGATCTCTATTTACTAGGCACTCGATGAACACAAAACAACCAAGGCAAAGCTCCTTTTGTCTAAAGAAATGACATCCTGGGTGTGAGAGCAGAGGCAGCAGATGGGAGAAACAATGAGCCAGTGCTGGCTGGTGGGTGAGGAGCAGCCCCAGCCCTCTGCAGCCCAGCATTGCCAGAGACCTGGTGGCAAAAGGGCACAGGAGGAGCTGTTACAACTCAAGGAGGATTCAACAAAACCCATTTTACCCAACCGTGGTGTTTTCAAGATTCTTTCAGTCCATCTGTCAAACCTTTCAGGAAAAAGGACGTGCGTGCCAGGCAGTGAGACCTGAATGACACCTGTACAGGGTGCTGTAAACTGCTCTGTTGTCAAACTGGTCTCAAAAAGCAACACTCAGCCAGTAATAACCAGTCAGGATTCAAGCCAACACCAGTACCACTGCTGTACCAGCCCAGCCCTCAAGATTTCCTGAAGTGACCAGGAAGTACTAATGCTATGAATCAGAAAAAAAACCCCAAGGCTCTTTGGAAAAAAGGGAAGACCAGACCAATGCAGACACAAGACCACTAATTTCATGACAGGATTACCCTTCAGAGAGGATCTTCTTTTTTACAAGGCTGAAAAACTTCCCATTTTTGCATGGGCTCCGTGGGCAGAACCCAGAGCATGGGGAGGGTTCTTCCAGCACCCAGCTATGGACACACCCCTCCTCAGCCCCATCTCCCACCCCCTTGGTGAACCTCCTGGCTACAGGGAAAGACAAGAAGCCTTTAAGCATTATTCCCCCCACCTCCCATCCAGCAAAGTACTTCAGCTCATCATCACCCCACTTTGACAGGGTATTTTAATACACAGCACCAGCACCACTTCAACAACCTCATCTTTCACTGCCAGGACTGCAATGGATAACCAGCCATGACAAGGATGTGCCTAAAGCATTTCTTAGGCTTCAGGTTTGGGCTTCCACCCAAAAGTCTGGGGATTGGCTTAAGGAACATGGACACAGTATTTTCTGTAACTGATTTCTTTAATGGCATGAAAACTTGACAACTTTTTTTTCTGCACTCTGTGTGCTTTCACCAAAAAAAAAATATTACAAAATAAAAGTTCTTTTCTAAATTGGTTTATAAAAAGCCTAAATTATGATGGGCATTTGGACCCTTGTCATGGATATAGAAATGGATTTGCATAAAAAGAATCCGATTCAACATCTTCCCATCAAAACTTGGGATATACTTTCATGTCTGAATTACATGCTGTCAAGGGATGTTGCAGATGTAATTGCAGCAAGAAAAAAAACACATTATTGCTCCTAAGATTAAAAACTCACTTATTTTCTACTGTCAAGAACTTCCACTGCTACATTCTGATACCTTCTCAGAACATGACAAGCCTGTAAATTTAATAAGGATTTCAACCCCTCAAGTGTCAAAGCTTTATGATCTTCACACATCTCAATGATGGGATCTGCCTTTTGCAGATACAGGCAACAGAAAAAGGCCACTGTTCCGGTTCTCGGTGGTCACCTAACCTTGCACAAGTCACAGAATCATAGAATCATCCTGGTTGGATGGGACCTTGAAGATCAAAGAAACAACTTTGGTGCAGTACCTCATATCACACTGGCTCACTCTGCTTTGTCAGTCTGACTTCTTATGTCTCTAAGAACTCTTTAAAAAACTCTTCTCTCCTCATGTGCTCCCCGACAGCAAGAGAGAATGAGTGTGCAAGTGCACAGAACACAGCTCACAAAAGCAAAAAGGTGGATGTATCTGGACAGAGGAGGCCAAACTTCTTGGGTCTCTCAGCTCACGAGAAACAGAAAGATCGTTTGTTTCCTGTTCTGAACTTAACTGGGCATTTGGGGGTAACGGGCTTGTTCGCTCTCATGTGCAGACTTTCCAGCTGGGAGAAACACAACAGCTCTGCAGTGACACAGAGGTGCCCAGGCTGCACCAGTACAGTCTGCGTGAGGAGCACAGGGTGCAAAAAGCATGAGCACTAACTTTCTACCTGGTTTGAAACATGTTGTGGATCTTACTGCTCACCTCCTTTGTAAATTTAAAAACCTCCGAAGAAGTTCCTATAACATCAATGTGAGTGTCATAGGGAATGGTCAGAACAGAAGGGTGATGGGATTTTAGACTTGTACACACCCGTTTGTATCTCTCCTTTTCCTCCCTGGTGTGCCTCTCATAGCAGATCCTTTCTTTACGTAAATCATTATGGAGTTTTACAGACTGATTTTCAATATTCTCTTTGACTCTTAATACCTGTCTAGGATCAGACCTGCTCCCAGCACTCTTGATGTAAACTGTAGTTATATCACCATCAGCAGAGGCAGAAATTGCAACATCATCATTCACTGGGAAGGTCTTGGGAAAGAAGTGCTTCATGTAGTAGTATGTATCCGTGTCAAGAACCACCATTTGTTTTTCCCCATCTGCACCCTGAACAAATTGACTTGCCTCCCTGGTACGTCTGTGTTGCTGTAGCCTCCTCCTTGGACTCTGCTGGGACTTTCTTTCTTTTCCTTTCTCCTTCTCTGAAAGGGATTTTGCTTTTAGCAAGAGAAAGTCTCTTAGCAATTTCATGGCTGGAAACGACCCCTGAACAGAAATATGCCCATTGGGCTGCAGAGGGCCAAAGCTCAACGCTGTGCTCTTCTTCTGAAGTTCTTGTAGCAGCTCTTCCAAAACAAACTGATCTTTGAAAACAGACAGATTGAGGACAGATGTGACAGAGCCGAAGACCTAGAATTTCAGATGAGAGAAGGTAAGTAATGGTTAACACAGCAATGCCAGTAGAACTAGATTAATTATGAATGAGCTTACGTTCTCACAGTAACGGGTCACTTTCAGTGGGTAGTATCTGGACAACCTCCTGTCTTCTAGTCGATGTTCATCCTTCCCGAGAACACGCTCTACAACTGAAGAGAAAGCCAGATTCGTTCTTTGCACAGTGAGATAATGGGCTGTTGTCAGTCTGATGGCAAGCAACTCAGGATTCTTGCCCAATATTTCATGTATTAGTCAAAATTGTTGAGAGAGGGACAAAAGCCTGTCTTCTTAGAACATTAGTTGGCAGAGATTTATTCTCAAAATGGTACAAGTTTGTTCCTAAAAAACCCACAGCAAATGCTTTGCACAAAGCCTGTTCAGTGTCATGTCTCCACTGAACAGAAACCAAATCCTGAAGATTTGAATGACTAAAATAGGGATATTAAATGTCCCAGTTCTCTAAAACCCTAATACCAGTAAACAACTTAAAATAATTTGCTTTAGGGTTAGCACTGTAGGGACAACTCTTCAGGGGATGGGTGCACTTACTGTAGTGTATTAACCTAAATACCTTCTTGATCTTCAAAAGTTACGTATGCAACTCCTTTCCTCTTTGTTGGGTAGGTTACTTCTTCCACATCTCCCCCATTATTCTTCGACTTTTGGAAATGAATGATCAGTATGTCAGCCATGACATCATCAGGCAGAAGGCCATCTGGAACACCAGTGATGACCACTCTCCTTGCTGACTGAGCAGCTGGTCCTGTTGCCTGCACACAGAGACACAACATGCCATCAATGCAAGGAGTCCCAGGGACTTCCCACAGGGGTTACCAAGATTCACCCTGACAGCTGAAGTGACTCCCCTTCCTTTTGCACAGACAACATGAGCGTTTAGGAGCTAATTAAGAAGGCTGCTGAATCAGATTTCCATGAATCCCAGGCTCCCTCAGGCACCTTTACATTACTGTGCAGTAAAAAAAGTCCCAATTGTTAAGTGTAATTTACACCCTCTCACCTTCTTTTCTAAGAGCAGAAAAAATTACAACTAAATCCAACAGCTTCTCAAAGAAAAGCTCCAGTATCACACTGATACAGCAGTTTGCTCTGTTTCTAATATGTAAAGTTTGAAGAGAATAATGGAGAACGTTAATTGCAGACGCTGTTCAGCAAGGATTGTCTTTTCAGAGTGGAAGGGTCAGATTCAGACCATCCTTCCTTGTTAAATTCATGAGACCTGGGAGTTGGGGTTGTGCTCTGACTCGCCTCTCTCCACTTGCTGCATGGATAACCTTGCTAAATTGGAAGAACATAATCCCAGTCATCCACGACTCCCAGCACATAAAGCAACCAACTACACACACGATTTTCATCACCACCAAACCTCCCAGCGCTACAAACACGAAACCCATCCTAAATAGGATTTGCATCCATGTCTTGTTAAGAAAAGGGTATTTTCTTTCCATTCTTATTACACAGGCGTAAACAGCAATATTTCACTGGGAATATCACAGTGAAATTACTGTAAATGCTGGAGCACTGAGTAACTTTTGTAACAGTTCATTGACTTCCCAGAAGGAAGAAAATAATTCATTGTGTCTGCGTGGCCGCGTTGGGGGGAACAAACCATCAGAGAGACTGTACTCCAGGTCAGTCACTCCATCTAAATTCTTCAGATTTCTCCTGCAAAGCTCCTTCTGGGCCTGGGCTGCACAAAGGGCCAGCACAGCAGTTTCAAAGCCTGCAAGAATGTGCTGCCAGGGGGGTGAATGCCTCGTTGCCCTGCACCCAAAGCTGCGTGGGCCACCACCACGCTTCTGAAGGGAGCGAGGAGGCAGATTCAACGGGCCTGTGCCACCCTGCAAGCTTTTCATTAATTAGGCTTTTTCTTTGCCTTTTTATTTTTTTCTTTATCACCCACCAAAGAGCCAGGAGCTCTAATTATATTAGGCAATTGATGCTGGCGCGAACGCGGGTTTCTGCGCTCAGGAGGGAACACGAAGGGAATATAAACAAGGTGCTTGCAAGACTGGTTGGAGTTTTATGCAGCATTTCCTCGCCGAGGTACAAGCAGGAGCCCTCAGCCGCCAGACAGCACCTCGCACCTTGCCAGCTGGTGTTTTGGAGCAACCCTCATGCCTGCTACTGGGGTTAGGGACAAAAAAAAAAGGATATATCCATGAGCAGAAGAGTGGGTTTGTGCTGAATCACTTGTGCGTTCTGTGGCTGTTGCTGGAGAGCAACGTGGAGCTGGGGAAGGAGGGCAGACGGTGGAGAGGGGCACGACAGAGATGGTGTCTGGGGACAGCAGGGTCCTGGCCATGAGGCTGCTGTTTATTGGCTGATCAGCTACATGGATGGGCACTGATGAGAGGTTGGGCATCACTGGTTCTCACTGTTATTAAAAAACTGAAATGCTAGGACTAGCAAGAGGGAAATCAGACGTGCTGCTCCTGCTGATTAACGGGGCGGGAGGGAGGCAGGAGAGCACCCAGTACTTGGAATCACAGTCACCGAGGCTGCTTTCCAGGGATTTCTCCCTTTCTCTGCTGCACCCTGCTTTTCCAGGGATTTCCCCCCCTTTCTGCCAGACCCTGCCTTTCCAGGGATTTCCCCCCCTTTCTGCCAGACCCTGCCTTTCCAGGGATTTCCCCCTTTTCCTGCTGCACCCTGCCTTTCCAGGGATTTCCCCCTTTCTCTGCTGCACCCTGCCTTTCCAGGGATTTCCCCCTTTCTCTGCTGCACCCTGCCTTTCCAGGGATTTCCCCCCCTTTCTGCCAGACCCTGCCTTTCCAGGGATTTCTCCCTTTTCCTGTCTGACCCTGCCTTTCCTGGGATCTCCAGCATCCCAGAATCCCAGAGTCACCAAGGCTGGAAAAGACCTTTCAGACCACCAAGCCCAGCCTATGACCAACACCCCCACATCTCCAGTCCAGGGCACCAAGTGCCACCTCCAGCCTTTCCCTGAGCACCTCCAGGGACGGTGCCTCCACCTTTTCTGCCCTGGGCAGGTCTGATCACCCTTTCCATGGGGAAGTGCTTCCTGATATCCAGCCTAACCCTCCCCTGGAGCAGCTTCAGGCCAGGCCCTCT